TGGCAATCCCGGAGCCGAGCCCGCCTGCAAAGCCGCCAGCGAAGAGCTTCTTCCAGAAGGGGGTGTCGCGCGGGTCCTCTGCTCCGAGCAGCCCCTTGACCGGCGCGTACAGCCCAAAGCGCAGCGACGAGTACAGCATCTCCCGCGCCGCCGCCGGCCACCAACCCTTGTACAGCGCGAGCAGCCCCTCGTCCGCCACGACCACCCGGAAGCCCTGCGCGAAGCCCGTGTACCGTCGCTCGCCGGAGGAGCCCTGGTTCTGCAGCCGCACCTTGACCGTCTCGACGGGGTGCACAACGAATTGTGCCTGAGAGAGCGCGCGCGCATGTGAGAGAGAGTCGGAGAGCGAGTGAGAGAGAGGCTCAAGAAATCAGAGGCGCCACTGTTGCGGCGACACCGCCGAGGAAGAGACGCGCAGCGAGGACGTTCGAGGCGGGCGAAGCCTTGGCTTTCTGCAGTGCGAGAGACTCGCGGCGCGTCAGGCTGCCCCTGCTGCTGCGCCGGAGCAAGCCGCCAAAGTCGGTCGGCGAGCCGAATTCAAGCAGGATTGCATCATTGTCGTAGAGGGTGAGTAGGTCGATGGGTTGAAGCAGCGCAAACACTTTGAGGAATGACTCGAAGGTCACATGGTTGCTGCCGGCACGCAGCTGGCTGACCAGCACGTCCTCGTCCTCGGCGGTGAGCTGCAGGTGCATTGCCTCGAGCATCTCGTGCACCGAGCCGATGGGGATGCTTCCGCTCTGCTCGCGATCCACGGCGTTGAAGGCGGCGTGCAGCTGCTTGAGCCGGCGGCGCACGAACGTGTGGAACTCCTCGAAGCTGACGCTGCCGCTGCCGTCCACGTCAATCTGTCGCACCAGCCGTGCGGCATACGCCTGCGGCAGGTCGAGCTGCTGCAGTACCTCCTCGAGCGCGGAGGCAGAGACGGCGCCGCTGCTGCCGTCGTGCTGGCTGAAGACGTGCCGCAGGCGGGCGCCCAGCTTGTCCTCGCAGAGCTCCGTCGGCCGGCGCATGATTGTCATTGTGCCGCGATTGGTGCGGCCTGAGCGGGCGGACGTTCGCGATATCGCGAAGCGTGCTGAGTTGTTATTTTCTCGTTGCTTTTGTGAAAACGCCCGCTTCGACCCGCTGACAGAGAGAGATCTGCACACAATCGTCGCGCGAGCCTTCTGCGGAGCGATCCGCGATCTGCGTCGAGTGATGCTCCGCCTACGAGCGAACGAGCCTCGCGATTGCATCTTTCGCCCTGGCGAGGTGGTACTCCCACGCTCTCGGGGTTTTATCTGGCCGAGTCAACCCGTGCTGGGGCGAGCCTCGGCGAGACTGCGTCAGCTGTTCCCACAGCAGGCTGGAAGTACCTCGCCAGCTTTGCTTTCGCCTAGCTGCAGACCTGCCTGCCTGCATGCAGACCTGCCTGTTCGCGCTCAACCGGCCACGCTGCGGCACGATTCCTCCTCAACCTAAAAAAAAGACAGTGGCCAGGGGCGGGGCTTGCATTTTTGCCGTCGCCTGTCGCCGCTACAGCGCAGCAAACCTATTCTTCTCAGAGAGAGTTTCAGCAATAGCCCTTCTCTTTTCTCGCGTTTTCCTCCGTTTTCTTTCGCCGTTACAGTAACTTGAAGCCCGAACGGTGTTATTTCCTCGAGCGCCGGATAAGCGATTCACAGATAGGGTGATAAGAAAACAAGAACCTCTTCACACGAAGGCCGTGACCACGTGTTTCTCGGCTCGCCCTCGCCCGGCCCAGCGCTATGCCGGCGCGTTCGCTAGAGGCTGCTGCCGCAGAGCGGAGGCGCGTGCGTCGCCTCGCTACTCTCGCGGCGAAGCATAGCTGCCGCCGCCGAGACGCGACGCGGCGTCTGCCGAGGAGAGAGAGCCAGCGCGGCGGTCGCCGACGCCGCCTTCGAGCTGTGTGCCACTTCTCGGGTGCACGAACAGCTCTGCGCGGCAGCAGCATCAGCAGCCGCCGCACCGCCACCCGCCTCGCGCCTGTCGCGGCCGGAAGGGAGCACGCCGACCTTCCACCGCTCACCGTCAGCTCCCGCGAGACGGCCCACCTAACCGTTGAGCTCGGTACGGCTCGCGAGGTCGCGCAACGCGACTCTCTGGCCTTGAAGGCGACGCACCTCTTGCGGCGTGCGGCGCATGGGATGTCGCAACGACCAGTCGGAGATTGAGCGCGAGATGT